TGTCCGAGCCCCGAGCACTGGCAGCAGCCCGGGCGCCCCTCTCCACCCCGCCAGGCTCAAGGCACGGCCATGGGCTGGGAGGCCAGGGCACCGCGGGCTCAGGACGCGTGTCGCTGGCAGCGGGAGCGTCGTCTCGCAGTCAGAGAAGCGGCTGAGAGACGCCGGGGCGCTGACACGCCGCAGCCCGGGGCTACGCCCGTTCCCCTCCGCGGCCTGAGACGGCATGGGCACGGGGACGCGCCCCGGGCGACGCGGTGCGCTCCAGCGCGGGGGGACCCGGCCTCCTGCACCCAGGCGCGGCCTGAGCCCGTCGATCCCTGCCGCAAACTGCTGCTCGCGCTCCCGCTGCAGCCGCAGCCTCCCACGAGCAGGGTGGCAATAGCGCGGGGCCGAGTCACCGTGGCATTGCTGGGCCGGGCGGAGCTGCAGGGCCCCGAACCAACCTCCCTGCCTCCAGCCCGCGGCGGGGCGACCCCGACCCCGACCCCGACCCCGACCCGGGAGCAGGACGGCGGGGACGCAGCCGTCTGCCCGCGGCGCCCTGCCCGAGGCCCAGAGAGCAGCGGTTTCCTCTGCCCTGCACCAGCCCCCGTGTCTGTTCGTGGGGGCGGCTCCAAGGGGTCGGGTCCACACGGAGGAAACAGCCGGGCATGGCCGTGCTGCTGCCTTCCCGGCTCCGGCTCCGGCTCCCCCGCACCGGACAGCGCAAGGAGCCTTCCCCAGGGGAGCGGACGAGCCGTCTGGGGGTGCCGCACCAGGCCAGGGTCACTGTCACTCTGCCAGGCCCTTAATGCTACCTCTCTGATGGATCAACCATCTCTCCACCCCCGGCACAGCCTCTGCTGAGCCTGCGTGCCCCGACCCTCTGTGCTAGCAAGACCCAGGAGCCTCAGCTTATACCCAGCCCCTCTCGCCGCAGGCTGCCAAGTGCCAGGCTCTTCCCTTGCCTTTCCCTGGAGCGGAGGGAAGCAGCACCTGGCCCCGGCCTGCTGGGGCCGAACCGAGCAGAGACCCTGCAAGGGCTCCGGCCCCGCGACGGGGAGACCGGGGGGCAGAGGCCTTCCCCTCCTCCCACCCAGCGCAGCCGTCACTGCTGTTTCCCAGCAGCCTGCTGATGAGGTTTCGCTCGGCGGGTAGCAGGCGATAACATCTGTCACCGCAGCGGCTCCCACCACAAGTGACGCACCTGCCGCCCAAGGGGAGCAGGGCAGGGTGATGCTCCAGGGGAGAGAGCTGCTGAGACTGAGCACTGATACCTGCCCCAGCTCGTGGCCTAAGGCCTAGGAGAAGGGGGGTGGCCGGAGCAGGCCCTCCGTGGCCAGGGCCGAGCAGCCCTGCCCTCTCTGTGCTTGGTGCCAGTTTGCTTCCACCCGCTCTGCCCCGCACCTGGGCCGCTTCCTGAGGCACGCTCTGTAGCAGAGACCAGCCCAGGTTGCAGCAGAGCGCGGGCCCAGCCTTTCCAGCCCCCTTCCACCCAGGCTGCGGCCCAGGGCTCTGCGCCCCCTCCAGCCACCTGCCACTAGCTGGAGAGTTGGGGGCTGGCAGACACAGGTGGAGCATGCATGGCGCAGCGGTGTGCCATGGCTGTGTGCTCGGGGGAGCTGCAGCCCAGAGCAGACCAGCAGTGCTGGGTCCCCTGGGGCCCTCGCGCCAGTCGGAAACCGGCCAGCCCCTTCTAGATGGGGGCACCTGAAATGGGCCCTGGCTCTTGGACCAGGACTCGGGTGACTGGCTTCTCCTCCCAGTTGGGTCTGTGCCCTGTGGGGTGGCCGTCAGCACGCCCACGTCCCGCTCTGAGCCAGCCTGTCCCCTCCCGCCCTGCGCAGCGTTGGGTGGCAGGGGCAGCTTGTGACCCGGTGCCCGGCACAGCCCAGCGGGCCCCCGGTCCCGGGCCGACAAGGCGCTGATCACGATCACACCCCGGGCTGCAGGTGTGGGTGGAGCTGAGCTCTGGGCTAGGTGAGAAATGGGGCTTTCGGCTGTGTTTCGCTCTGAGTCCCTGGGCCTTTCCGGTCTGCCAGCTAGGGCAGGGCTTTGCTCTTCTGGGGCCTGAGGAGAGGAGAAGAAGCTTGTCCTCTGCCCTGGCAAGGCGAAGCAGCGGGGCAGGCTCGGCACCACCCGCACGGCCAGCTCCGCTGGGGGCTCCACGAGGGCTTGTGAGCGTGGACCCGCTCGCTGCCCGCCTGCCCACTGGCTGCGTGCGTGGCAGGGCGGTAACGAGCTGTCCCGAGGGCCCAGGGTGAGCGGGGTCCCTGGGCGAACACAACTGTTTACAGCAGCTACGTGGAACTGATGCAACCTCTGGGCTCTGGTTACGTGAGAGGAGCTGCCTTGGCACCGAGTGGGATGTGGGATTAGAAAGGCCTTGTCAGGAAACCAGCTCCGTCCCCTGCCCCATGCAGGCTCGGCCGGCCGGCCGGCTCGCAGGGCCCCAGGGGGGCTGTGCGTAAGGACACCCCCTGCCAACAGCCGCGCTGGCAGCACGGCTTCCCGGGACCCGGCCAGCGCCTGGCCGTGGCTCTGTGCCCAGCCCCGCTCCGGGGAGCAGACAGACCAGGAAAATGCTCCCACAGGATGTACCAAACCAGCCCTGCCAGGGCGGAGACTGAGCTCCAGCTCCTGCCTGGGCAGCTCTGTGTGGGCTGGGGGGCAGCTGGGCCAGGCCCGGGGGAGAGGGATGCCTTGAGGCTGCCAGTCCAAGGACAGGCTGTCCCCCTGCCAGCGGGGCTTTGGGGTCCAGCACACGGCGGCTGCAGCTCCTCCTGGACCCCAGGCCCAACCCCGGCAGGACACGAGAGACCCGGAGCTGCTTCTCCCATCACAGGGGTGCAGCAAGGGGCATAAAGGGGTGCGGAGAGGGGGGGAAGCCCACCCTGCCAGCAGCGCTGGGGAAAGGGGACCTGGCATTGCCTCTAGGGCTGTGGCTGCTGCCTGCAAACCCCAGGATTTGCACAGGGCTTCCGAGTGCAATTAGCAGGCTGTTAATTAGCATTGCTCCTAATCTTAATTAATCCTGGAGAGGGGCTTTGGGGGGTGGGGGAGGGGCTGTGTTAGTGCCTATGCAATGACAGCCAGCACCCTGGGGTCTTCAAAGCACTGCTCTGCCCAAGAACACCCCTGCCCTGGGCAGAGCTTGCACAGAGATGCCCCTGCCTGGACACAGACCTCGGCCCTGGAGCCCACGGCCAATAGTCCGGCCACCAGCACCAGAGGCAGCCACTGCCCAGGCAGATGCCTTCCCCTGGGGGTGCCTTGAGGAGCCTCCTGGAGGTGGGTCCAGCTGGAATCTGCCCCCCCAGGGGATGGGGGCAGGGGGCTCCAGCCCACACTTGTGATCTCTGTGTGTGGTTGGGGTGGCGAGTCTCAGCCAGGGGGACCACAGCACCCTGGGGTGCCTCAAGATCCTTTCAAGGGTGCCCCAGGGCACCACACGAGGCCAACACGTGCATGCGGGTCACAAGACAAGCCCAGATATTTCCAGCGGAAGGCCGGGGCGCTCGCAGCACCCTGCCCCGCTGCGGGCTCGCCGAACGGGTCACGACACCAGAGTCGCTCCGTCACTTGTGCAGGCCACAGCTGAGCGCCGTGCAGCGGCTGGCGCTTTCGGAGCGGGCTCGAGCCCTGCAAAGGCTGCGCCCGGCTGGCCTGGGCCTCGCCCCAGTACCCGCCCCGCTCTGGGCCTCACTGGAAAGTCTCTGGCTCCCTCTGGAGGCCTTTGCTCCACGGTGGAGCCAGCGGGTCCAGGCCCAGGCCCAGCCAGGAGCGAGCTCAGCCAGGCAGCAGAGGAGAAGGCTGGGGCAGGGAGGGGACACACACCCCCCCCAGATGGGAGAAGAGGCGCTGACACCCTCAGCGTCAGGCTGCAGCTCTGCTGGCTTTGGGGGCTGGGTGGGGGGTGAGGCACAGTTTGGGGGCTCGCTGCAGACATGGCTCGGGGCCTTGCTGTGCCACGGGGTGCTCTGAGCCTGCCCACCGGTGCAAAACGGAGTGGGGAGAACCGGTGGGCCAGGGGGTCTCTGCCCCGCCACCTGCGCCCGGCTGACCCCCCCCGGGGCCGGATCCAGCACGGGGAAAGCTGCCGCCATCGGAACCGCTTCCTTGGCCGTGTTTGGTGAGAAAACACTCTTGGGGTAGCCT